TCTCTCTCTCTCTCTCTCTCTCTCTCTCTCTCTCTCTCTCTCTCTCTCTCTCTCTCTCTCTCTCTCTCTCTCTCTCTCTCTCTCCGTTTTTAATTCTCTTCTACCCGTGCACAGAAGTTGTCTCGGACGGGTTCTATTTGGAATCGGTTCCGTGCTAACATAGCGTAAAATATAGCCTGTACAAACAATCTTATCCCCCACTCACGTGATATCCATAATCTGGTGCAGGGAATCCAGAATTCTATGTCCAGCCTTCAGCGCACGTGCAGGGTCATCCTCATGCTTATCACCCGGTAAACCAAATATCACTATGAACGTGCAGCCCTGTATAAAAATTACACAAATTGAACTGTATCGAGACTGACGAGAATCGGTTACTTAGTCGTGATAAGTGCCATATCGTCCTTGCCTTGTGTAATATATCAAACGCGAAAGAACGTGTTTGACCACATTTCCAAACACCAAGAAGAGAGTTGAAAATACGCCGACGGGCAGCGAAGTATTTTGACAAAATTTGAGGTGTTTGGAAATGTGGTCAAAGACGGTCTTATGTTTCTGGTTTAAACTCGATGGTCCTGAATCAGAATTTGGAGATGTTCGTTTTTGTGGAGGGACGAAAACCGGAGAACCCATGCAGAGAAAAACCCATGGAGCAAGGCGAGAACCAACCACAAATGCAACCTACATATGACACCGGGCAGGACTCGAACCCGGATCACATTGGTGGGAGGCGAGCACTCTCACCACTGCACTATCCCTGCTAACTATTAGAGCGATTGTTTACGTCTTATTTGGCAAGTCAGCGTGTTATATTTCCTTACAGTAAACAGGTGACAATAAAGAATATCAATTTTGAACTGTGACATACGTGCACCATTTTCTCAAGACTAATACGTAAACATTCCAGCATGAAAAAAGGAGCTAATGAAACAAAATTTTTGTCATGAATTGAACAACAGGTAGTAAGATACATACGTACAATGTGGTTCTCTTACCTTGTCAAAGGAGAAGACTTTGTTCAAGCTACCTAGCATGTAGAGATGTCAGAAAGCAATGTAATTGTAAGGCAACAGAAACTTAACCAGTTAGTCTTTAAACAGTTTATTGAACTAGATTTAATTGTTATTTACCTCTCAGTCTCTTAGCACATTCGTATATGACCTCAAAAGCCTTCTGAAGGGCCCAGGAATGAGACCTTCCTTTTAAAGGCAGCACCATATTTATAAACAGCACGGAGACCTGGCGCATTTCTGACAGCCATTCTAGGTCCTGACCATGGTCAATCTACAACGAAAGCAAATAGCTTAGCGAAGTGAGATATGAAATAAAATTGTTTTGCACGTTATTACATGAAGTGGAGCTGTTCAGGCTAGTTTTGACTAGCGCAAAAGCGTAAGCCGACATATGCACACGCAGTAAGGGACGGACCGTTAATATTTTTAGGGTGGGGGGAGGGAGGGCAATTTTCCGGAACTCGAAACTTTATTCTCATCTTCAGGTTATGCACGATTATTTCCCTGATTATTGTTGATGGGCAATAGCTTGTGCAAGAATTTTCTTTAAAAGTCAAACGCAGTACCTGGATAGTAGCAAGCACTTGCTCGATTTATTTGGCTCCCTTTACACTATGTTTTTCCAGCAGTTTTCGCTGTGCCGAAATGTTTTTCTGGAAATTTCCCGACACCCCCCCCCNTTCAAAAAAGTAATGGTCCGTCTTCAAGACGTTGATAATATTAGCAAAAAGGGGCAAACAAAGCGGACGCGTAATACTATGACATTAAAGGTTCCGTTTATGTATGTTCTTAACTACCCACATAACCAGAGCAGACTGTATGAACAAAAAAGGCCCTAAATCGGTTGGTACTGTAGTGTGAAAGTATAATGGTCGCATTATATCGCAACCCAACTGATTACACTACAGTAAATCATTTGACTCCACTGCTAGTCAACTACAGCCTATAAAACAAAGCCTTGGTTTCAAAAAAGACTCAGTTCAGTTCGAAATGAAATAACAAATAGCTCTTTTTCCGCTACTTTCGCGTTGGCCGTTACTTTCGGGGGAAACGTTACTTTTGGGGTTCAAAAGGGAGGTGAAAAATAACGTTACTTTCGGGGAACCGTTATTTTTGGTGGCGGGAGGGGGCGTTACTTTCGAAATTAAACGGTGTCTCATATTTTGTGTGAAGATTGTAGGGAAATTTGTTGTCATGAGGGATGGTGTACAAAGCAGCTCGTTCAATGCAAACGTTCAAAGACGGGACTATGGGGCTTTCAAAGACAAAAGGTAGCACGAAAATATCGCTAATTATCCCGGGCGGCGCCTGGAGTCCGCGTGAAACTGAGTCTCGTAATTTCTAGGCAGTGAAATTTCCACATGTTACGTGGGGCTTTCAGACTTTACCTTTGAAAGGACAGGTTTGGAGACATAGGCACGAAGATCTTCGATATCCTGGTCATTAAGCTTACTGCAAACGTCAGTACGATGGTCTGCAAGCAAAAATTAACACCGCTGAAGTTCAAGTGAATGAAATAGCGAGTTGAAACTCGAAACCATTTCAGGGAAATTAAAGATAGAATACACCTGACCAGGGTCGTGATAACTCTTGCTTTTCAACAGATTTCCAGTGATTTTACATGTTTGTTCTTTCTGCTCAGAATGACTGCTCTTGCGGTAGATCCTGGGAAGTTTCATTTGAGGATGGTAACGTGAAAGCAGTGTACCAACATGAGGAGCAAATATTCTTTTAGCCACCGATGGTGTTGATACAAGGACAGCGTTTGTGGATATCACACCAGACATCAAGGCTAGCTGAACTCCTGTTGGGTGCACTGTGGTGACGGTGGAAGACTCTTCTTCAACTTTAACTCCGGCTACCTGTTTGAAACAAAGGCAGAGTTTGCGTCTTCTTCAAACATGTGAGTGTGTTCCACATTCATTGCCTGACGAAAACTCTCGGGACCAATGATTCGCGAGAGCTTGAATGGTTCACCTCTGAACGTGACAGCAGGCGCTCGAGTCTTACATGCCCGCGGAGAGTTTTTCCAAATTCACTTGGGTGTTCACACTCTTTATCAAGCTTTATTATTTGGCTGTGTCTCACAAGGACTGGGAACTACCGAATTCACGAATTTGATTGGGTGGAATCGATATTGACCGCGGTCTAGATTTTCCCATCTAGACCGACATCTAGACCGGTTACATTTTGCGGAGAAAAAGTTGCAAACTAAAATGCATGATGATCAAACAGATCGAAAACGTTTAGACTCGTAGTTTTAACAACTTTTTAACTTAAAGTTTTATATTTTTAAAAATGCAAAAATATTGACTGTTTTCTTCTAACAATATTTATTTATTTATGGTAGTGCCAAAAAGCCTGATGAGAAAAAAAGTAAAGAGAACGAGCAAACGTCGACAGAATTAAGTTTGGCTCATCGCCGTTCGCAAGCAAAATGTCAGCTAGTACAAACCAGTTATATTAAACGATTTTTAAAAATTGTTCTTGTTTGCCATATACTAAACATCTTATTAACCGAGCTTAGTCGGTCTGTATGGGAGAATCTTGACCTCGGTCGTGTCATAGTTAATAGAGGGGAATGGTTATGAAACCCGACAGAGTTCTTAGTTGTATGTTTTTGTTCGCTTTTTTGGCCTTGACCATGCACAAAACACAATTGTTGTTTACTCCGTACTGAGGAACTAACCAATAGAAACGTTTTGGTTACGTAATTCATGCATAGCGTATGAGCGCAAAACAAGAGATTGTGCACGGTCGTGGACCTTCCAACATAAATCTTGTAATCTTTGCTTGCTCGTTTGATGTTTGCCGGGCTTCATAGCCAGTCCCCTCTATTAACTATGGTCGTGTGTACAGAACTCACTGCGTTCGGTCTGTACTCGCAACCTCGGTCAAGATTCTCCCATACAGATCTCCTGCTCGGTTAATAAGAGCTAAATATGTAAGAATAATGGAAGCCTTTCTTTCGTGAAAAACCAGGGATAATGCGGCGTCTTTATTCGTGTTTACAACGTGTCATAAAGTAGCAATAGTTATCCGATTAGAGCAACTTCTGTCCTGGATTGAAGGGATACTTTGTTAAATAAGTTATTCGCATTTGAGGTTAGTTGAAATTATCACGTTTAGCTGTCTTATTTGATGGAGTTACGTGTGGTTTAGAACGAAAACAAGGCCGAGGATTTTTATCATTCTGAAACATTGTATGCATGTTTTAGTGAACTTTAACAATGACGACACTTTGTAATGTTAAACATGAAAAGAATATTTCGCAAAAACATTCAAAACTGGACGTGGATAGTAGAAACAACACACCTGAACAGTAATATGAAGACAACTAACAGGAGCGATGACTAAACTATGGCAAGACTAAAGATGAATTGAAATAAAAAAAACGTACAAGAAAAGCGACCATCACACAAAGAGAAACAATATTGCCTTGTTGGACATATAAATCATACCCTGTACCCGAGGTCCTGAAGGACGATCGTACCTTTCCAGTGGCCTCACTAGTCGTTTAACATTGACAAATTTAAGGAAACCCCCTTTTTGTGCCTCACCCAATGTCATCCCTACGGACAGTTATTTTCAGCCAAGTATTCGTATCTTTGTATTCTACCTGGCTCTATACGAAAGAAAAGTCATCATAAACGCCTGTAGTATAGATATTTGTATAAGCTTGTCATTACCACAAAGCTTACCCTGTAATGCGAACCGTTGTCCAGGATTTCAAACAAGAACAAAGACTGATCACAGTTCATAAACGCCAAACGTGACAAAATTATTGACCCAGGCTGCGCCCACTTCTCAGCTGCATTCACGTCGTCAACCGCTGTCCCTGCTAGATCGAAGTGTTTGCTCTCCGAGACTCCCACGTGTGTGATGAGCATCTTCCCGACAGACAAAGCGATCTTTACTCCAAGCAGAACACCAACGTCAGTCATGTAGTTGTCGCATTCCTCTTGAATAGCTATGCTACAAATGATGGCTTTGTTGATCAAAAGAGTCAAGTCTCCTGAGGTGTCCTCTGACTTCCATAAGGCAAGCAGAGCGTCCCCTGTGAAAAGGAAAACAGCTAATAGCAACCACGAACCCATAACATGAGAGTGTATAACCGACCGTGTAGCATGGCCCTTTGACAAAATTGAGAAACATTAAAAGTATTGACGTCTATTTATCTGTTTAGTTCGTTAGTTGGTTAGCTGTTTACTTGATTGGTTGGTTGGCCTGTTGGTTCTCTGGTGAATCAATCGGTCCGTAGATCAAGTCCGTTGGTTAGCTAATTGTTTGGTTGGTTGCATGGTCGATCGGTCGGTCGCCTCCTAGTTGACTGGTATCCGGGGGGTTCTCCCTTATACGGCCTGTATAAGAATGTGCGGCCCCAAAGGGTATGGTTTTTAGCCGTTTTGGTCATAAATAGGGTATCGATTTTAGCAATTTTGATCATTAATAAGGTCTGGTTTTTGCACTCCAGTCTTGAATTAGACGTCAGTGTTTTTTAGAAGAAGCTAGTTTTTCATCATTATCGATAAGACCGATCAACACAGGCCCTTCACGATGCCTTTACAATCGGTCTAAACTAGGGAGCTAAGTATAAGGCAGGTCTGAAACAGGGTATTGATCTAGGGTCAGGTCATAAACAGGGTATTGAAAATCGCAGATTGTCGACATAAATAAGGTAAGGGTTTTGGGAAGCGGGCCGCACATCCCCACCCATTTTTTTTCGGAGTACCCCCCAAATTGGCTTGTTGCCTAGTTGGTTCACGGTTTGTTTTTTCGTTGCTTCTCGCGACATTCGTTTGATCGTCCATTTTTCGCTCGGTGATTCTTCGTTTGTTGTAGATCTACAATAATTTTACAGTAACTGTGCTAACAGTTGTGCTACACATCTTATCAACTGTTTATGTAAAGTTGCCTCGTACCAGCAAATTTTAAGACATCGCCTCCATGTTTTAATATATCTGAAAAGAGAAAGTTTTGGAATTAGTGCGAAAGCGTTATACCATAGAAAAGCGTATAACATGACAGTTTTCATTTAGTTCCTGTTTCACTTACCCTCGACTATTTTTCCCAGGTACGTGTTGAGTGTGGAGGTAAGTTTGTCAGTGCCACATGATTCTTCGGAAGCTTTCAGACTATAAGTCTCACACAGAGAAGTGAAGCCTGTAAACGATATCCAAAAAGCTTGTAAATATAAAAAGAATAAAAAAAAAACTATACATTTTTTTCCAGGTAGCTAAACTTGATATTGTGGTGGTGAAGTTTGTGATCTCGAGCAGGGAAATCACATGGTTATCGTGATGTCATACTTTTCGAAAAGCTCCGTTTTCAAAATGTTTTCCGTCCAAACGAAACGAAAAGCCGGCGTTTTCAAATTCCTCCGGTTCAGAAGAGCGTTTTCGAAAAGCTCCGTTTTCGTGACGGATCAGTGTGGACGGAAGGCCTAACCAGAGAAAAAAAGCTCCGTTTTCAAATTGGAACAGGGCATTAGTTTGAACTCACCTGAAATATCGGCAAACATACACACGCCCACCATGTGCTTGACACGTGGCATTGACTTCTTATGGTCACAGTTAATCACAACATCCGGGACATGCGTCAATAATTGACGTAATGCAATGGAGTCACCAGGATCCAGGCCATTACCCGGCTGATCTAAGAGAAAATTCAATGCAACAATTTACCCTCTAAATACAAGACAAGAATCATAATTTCACCTGCGTTTCTGAATTAACGCTAGTAACCTTGTTTTTTGTTGGACGTTGGATGTTGATTCCCAGGCAATTTTATAGTATATTATTATATAAGAATTTAACAAATTGACGTCAGCTTTTCATGCGTCTGTCCTGTTATTGATCATGAATTTCGTCATAACATTGTCACTCGCCAAGTGGATCCGTAGACTAATTTGACAGTGTTAGTCTAGGGCTTGTTACTTTTTATTTCTAATCTGGCGTAGCGCGCTGTAAGAAAAATATCTCATTAGTAGGTTAAATGCAAACCGTGTTAAGTCCAGCACACTGCAGTTTTCTTCATAACTGGCTCACTCTTACTTGTTCTAGTTTGCTGTGCGATTAAAAAGAACTGAGGCCTAGGATCCGACTTGGGCGGAATTCAGTGAAAACAAAAGTTTCTTCATGTTATCTTTGTCGGCTGAGAGTTCAAGTAGATGTTCAACTTGCTCTGCACTATCTTGCCAGTAAACAATCTTTTACTATCACAAAGCGCACATCAGTAGACCTTCGTCACCAGAAAAGAGTTGTTCATTTAACTTTACGAGGGCGACGGTACTAATGCCAACTGAAAAACGGCTCGTTTAATCAGTACATTTGCTACAGTGATCTGCAAGTTTTTGTTTTCTACCTTTTGAGAATGTCCGCATTATACGAAGTACTTTTCTGAACTTCTCCATCAAAACAGTAGCGAAAAAGTAATTTGAAAATACAAACACCTTGTCAGTTTCAATTCAAACGGTAGGCCGAAAAAGAAACGACAAAAATAGACAGAAAAAAACTTCGCCATCTGACAAAACTTGGATCTAACCTGATTTTCTTCGTGCAGAAACTGCCTGTATTTCCTCGCTGCTCATTTCTTGGCGTCTTTTCAGGCTCTAAAGAGCCAACCTCTGCATGAAGCGCAAAAACAATGTTTTGTTTGTTTGTTTTGACGCGCGCTGAGGTCATAATCCGTTAGGGATGACGCACGCCAAAGCATTTCCGCGCGCACAAAAGCTACATGAATACGCGGCTATGGCTACCCTGTTGCACCATCCAACATCACGCTACATATTGCAACAGGGGAGTGGCTAAACATGCGCAAAATGTTGTGCGCTAGACATTGAAAAAAGTCCTTGGTCTTGTTTCTGTTGCTCAGCCGCTTCGCAGCTTAAAACTTCGTAGCAACTTTCACTCGCTTAGCTATTCTACGTACCCTGAATCTCATGAGGTCGACTTGTGGCAAGTCTAGTTGTACACAACAACTTGAAATGTTGCCGCCTGCTTTTGGCCGGGCCTGAGTTGCTCAGAATTCGCACCCCAGTCTCGAGACCAAGTCCGTCGTTTACTCGCAATTCCTTTCGAATCTTTGACAACTTCACTTTGATACCTTCTTTTCATCTTTGCTGCTTTGGAAATTGGTTCATGGGGATGGTTACGCTGTAAGGGGCTTACGGTAAAGATTGCCGCGAGAGAGAGGACTGAGACCAAGTCATTATTTCGTAACCGGGTTCTGTGGAGGAATTAAGTGGCTCCTTGAAGTTTTCTAAACTCTGCCAGGGGACGGGAGAGGGGGTTATTGAAACTGATTCACGGTTTATTCGAAAGATATATGGACTGATACCCCGGGGCACCGCACCACTGAGCCAATGTAAATTTAACTAGATTGAGTCAATTCGAAGAAAATTAGAGAAAAAAAGAGGAAAAAAGAAACAAATCGACCAAATATATGGATATCAGATCTCTTGCCTTCCTTGAAAGTCTTCGGCAATCAAGCTAACAAGTTAGGAAATCGTGTCTCGTCACACGCAGACTTTGCTCTAGCAATAAAATATGCTCCCGCGTTACGTGCCGCTGATCAACAGCAGCCATTTTGAAAGCGTTCAGCGTAAAGTTCCGCGCGAATACATTAAAATTCGCCTTGGAATATGGCTTACAGGTTTTGTTCTGTACTACGAAGTATCAGCCAAAGCCCTCGAATATTTCTCCATCATCAGAAGCTTTATTTAAGCCCTGTGACATTAACACGGACTATGGTAAGTTAAGCTAACAACTGAATTTTAGAAATTGCGAACGCGCGAACCAAGAAGATTCTTAATTTTTTTCTGCAAGTTTAATTCTCGTTGAGTGCCATGTGATCAGTGGTGGAATAAAGAAACCGAACCCAGAGTGCTCCATAGTCAGTGTATGGCCACTGTCAAGAAAATGCGAAATGGCTCTGCAAAGACATTTTTGTTCGCTTTCATCAGTTAACCAAAAAAATGAACAGCAACAGCGATCGCCAGCAAGCGGCTTTGGTAGCTTAATAGAATATTAAAATAGGCTTACTTTCTCTTCAATTAACTACTAAGCTCACAAGGTGTTCGTTTTAGCTCTAGTGAGCTTCTTTATAAATACGAAATGTGAAAAATCGCCATTCCAGGTTAACACCCTCCTACCTTCCCAGCATCTGTCGTCCCCCTCATTCCTCCCTCACCACTCACCCTACCTACCTCTCTCCCTTCCTCCAGGTCGGCTTTTTAATTTGTGAGAAGTGGTAAGGGAAGGGAAGAGAAATTAAATGCACTGATAATGGTTTATTCCTTCTGAAATGTCGCGATTTTTACTGCTCAGCTTACACTGAAAAAGTTCTTTCCTCGCATGGAGTTGTTGTAATTATTGTCACCCACCCCTCTAGGAGAAATCAGTTCTGGAAGCTTCCTCCCGTGAAAAGATACTAGTACCAAGGGACTTACTTACAGTGTTGTTCTTTTTGCCCCTTGTGAGACATAAGGGCTTCCACCATAGCTCTGCACTGGAGTCTGTTCTACACAATCAGTTGAACTTCATCCCCATGTCTTCCCAATGTTCTCCAGCTTTTTTTGTCCCTCTGCGTCTCCATGATTGTTTTGGTCTTCCCCTTCCCTTTTCAGGGGAGTTAAAGGGTAAATCCTGGACTCGGCAGAATGACAGGACTAATAAGTTCACTGCAAGCCTGACTTTCGTAGCCTTTTTGCAGAAGAAATCAAGACTCCCAGACAGCATAATGAATACTAAAATGAAACACCACCCTTAAACACTGATAGACTCGATGAGACCAGGTCCGGTACCCCTGAAGGGATGAATTCTGACAATTAACACAATGATCCTTCACTACCAACAGGCCACGCGCATTGAGACTGACAGTTTTGGAGAAATTGAAGTACCAGCTGATAAGTACTATGGAGCCCAAACTGCAAGATCAAAACTGAATTTTCCTATTGGTGATGAGAGTGAACGTATGCCAGTAAGTTAATAATCAGTGACCTGTTCTAAATTTATCTCAGACTTAAAAGTACAGAGATGGATTAATATAACATGTGTCTTTTTAAAGAGCCAGAAATACCACTTGTCCATCTGTTAATAGGAAATTACCCCCAAATATAATGTCCAAACAAAACATTTGCCATTTCACAAAGTTTCTTAAATCTACATCTTTCGCAGATGTGTTTGTTTTAAGTTTTTCTCACAGCTAAACTTGGTTCACATCACACGTTTTAAACTTCAATATGTCCAGTAACAACACCAGTTTCTAATAACAGGCTCCAGTGATCCGTGCCTTTGGTTTCTTGAAGAAAGCAGCTGCTGAGGTCAACAAGGAGTTTGGTTTAGATGCAAGTGTTGCTGACAACATCATGAAAGCAGCAGATGAGGTTTGAAATACACCCAGTGTTGTATTGTTTAAAAAAGAGTATTCTTTGATACTACCTGACAGTTTTTGCAGTAATGCAAATTATTTTAATTGATGTAAATAATTTAATTATTATTGTCAATAATTTAGCAACACCCATAAACTGAAGAGGACACTTTGCAGATGTTGTGACCTTTTTCGTCCATGTGGTAGTTTTTCTTTAGCTTTTGGGTAAATGTAGCTGACAGCACATGCATTGAACATTTTTGTACAAAGATAATCAAGTTTATCAGAAAGACAAATTATTAATATATAACCCTTTTCCAACTTCCTCATGTGCACTTTCCTTTTAAGTTTGTCTATGGTGTACAGTCTTCTAGATGTATCTCTTTAATTCTTCTATCTTAAGTCAGTAAACCACCATATAAAGAGGTTAAAGTGATTTAGAATTTTCAATTTGTTACTTACAAGTTACTCTCCACATCCAGGTGATAGCTGGAACGCTAAAGAACAACTTTCCCCTTGTGGTGTGGCAAACAGGCTCTGGCACACAGTCTAACATGAACGTGAATGAAGTGATCAGTAATCGTGCTATTGAGATGATGGGCGGCCAGATGGGATCAAAGAAACCTGTACACCCCAATGATCACGTCAACAAAAGCCAGGTTAGTCCTATGGAGAACATTCTTCAGATCTGTTACTGTGTCCTTGCATCATGTAGGGTGTAAGAACCAAAGAAAATGGATGTCTTTCTTTTGTTGCCAGTACTACTTGCTATTGTAGATTAAATATTCCTTGTGTTTGTCAGAGTTTGATGCAGATTTATCTACTCTACACATATATAATATATACGTGTATGATCTGAAGTGTACTAAAAAGACCTATGTGGAGGATGGTATGCACTTTGCTTGCCTCCTTATTTATATGCATATATTCACTTTTAAGAAGTTTATGAATTCTTGATTACAGAGTTCTAATGACACATTCCCAACAGCAATGCACATAGCAGCAGCAATGGAGGTTCACGAACGGCTGTTACCAGGTCTGAGAAAACTTCATGGTGCACTTCAGGCCAAGAGCAATGAGTTTAAGGACCTTGTTAAGATTGGCAGAACTCATACTCAGGTACAGTTATTTGTTTCATGTTTGTTCACCTTACTGTTGCAGCTTACTGGAAAGCTGTTTTGATAGACTTGTTTTGAAAATTTCCTTTCAGATCAATTCAGAGTGGTTCCTCTGCCCAATTTGTATTGGAAATTAAATTTTATCAAACAATTTTGAAGTATCAAGGTTTTTGATACATTTGTAAGCCACTGAGGTCAGAGCATGGTAATAATTATTCTCCCAAAACACTTTGACCAATTAAATTATAGTTTTTGTCCTTTACTTAGTGGTTTTGGAAAACATAACTTCAATTTAAATTTGTTAATGTTGTTATTATTAATTATTACAGCAACTATCCTTTGCATGTTTGTTCCATAACAGGATGCGACACCCGTAACCTTGGGCCAAGAGTTTAGTGGTTATGTGCAACAGATCGAGTATGGTATCTCAAGAGTGGAGGGGACCCTGGGGAGAGTGTATGAGCTGGCTATTGGTGGAACAGCAGTGGGTACTGGACTCAACACAAGAATAGGATTTGCTGAGAAGATGGCAGCCAAGATTGCTGAGTACACAAAGCTACCATTTATAAGGTAGGAATGAGGCATTTTTTTTTTTTACTTTAAAACTACTCTTTGCACTGAACAAGTTTGCTGGGACCTTTTGGGATAAGTCTCGGAATTTTGGGAACAAACTTTATCAACATATGGTAAATATTGCTTTCTAAAATACTAGTTATGCAATGCGTTCAAGTGGCAAACCATGGAATATAAATGGTTCATGTGCATACCAAGAAAATACAAGTGACTCATGGGATATTCCATGGTATACCACAAGAGAGCATTGGCTATATATTTTATATACAATGACTTTCCTGTATTCTGACTGGCTGTATTTTCTATGGCATGGTATAAAGATTAATAGAGAAAGTTTTCTTCCATTTTGTTTCCTTCAGTGCCCCAAATAAGTTTGAAGCCCTTGCAGCTCATGATGCTATGGTAGAGCTTCATGGAGCCTTGAACGTAATCGCCTGTAGCTTGATGAAAATTGCTAATGATATCAGGTTTCTAGGCTCAGGTCCTCGCTGTGGGCTGGGCGAGCTCATGCTTCCTGAGAATGAGCCTGGGAGCAGTATAATGCCAGGTAAGTCCTCCTAATCATGTCAGTGGCACTGAACATAAAGTAAGCACTGTTTTTTTGAGGCAACCTCAGGGAAATGCGAATGCTTTTTTGAATAAGACATTATCAAAAAGTGTAGACAGCAGGGAAGTCACAGCAGGTTTCAGATATAAAATGCCTCTTTTTAGTTTTACAAACATGCTTTGGAAGAAATGTCTTCCCTCTTCTTAATATTTGCACTGAATAAGGCAGAAGTTTCTGCTGAAACACGTTTGTAAAACTCCAGATTGTTGTTTTAGAACTGAAAATAAAACATGCTGTAAATGGTAAATTTCTCTCCAGGTTTGTGTGCATTTTGACCACTACCTGTGTTGTAAGACTGTTGCTGGTGACTTATGTTCCAAAAAACACAAATTAAAGTAATTCAACAGTTCTGTGAAATCTGCATTAATGAGGTGTTTCTATTAGTGATGGTGGGGATAAATGCCAATATTCATTTCATCGAGTTTCCCCCATGCCCTTTACATTCACTGACATGATATCTGTTTTGCTAAGCTTGGGTGGGTTGCATAACATAATTCAGAGGCTACACTTTTTCTTACTTTAAGCAAAATTTTAAATTGATCTTTCAGGGAAAGTTAATCCAACACAATGTGAAGCCATCACCATGGTTGCAGCTCAAGTCATTGGGAATCAGACAGCTGTGTCTGTTGGTGGAAGTAATGGCCATTTTGAATTGAATGTGTTCAAGCCAATGATCATAAGGAATGTTCTTCAATCAACAAGGCTCATTGGAGATGCTTGCGTGGCATTTACAGATAACTGTGTTGTAGGAATTGAAGCTAATGTAGAGAGAATCAACAAGCTTCGGGATGAATCCCTTATGTTAGTCACAGCACTTAACCCTCATATTGGCTATGACAATGCAGCAAAGATTGCTAAGAAAGCTCACAAAGAAGGCACAACATTGAAAGAAGCTGCCGTTAGTTTGGGATTGTTAACAGAAGAACAGTTTGCCGAGTGGGTGAAACCAGAGGATATGTTGGGACCTAAGTGAAGTCTGAATCAAACAATACACATCAAAGAGCAACAACACATGATGCTTTTATCAATTTAAATCTGACTCAGTCCTATGCAGTGTTGCATTTTGCCAATTGTAGGACAGATTTGATACTTTGCTGTAAGGAAAGTGAACTGTTTTCATTGAAATTAATATCCCTCCATTAGTGAGCTTGCACAGTACTGTTCTTCAAGCGTATCAATGGTTAGGATGATTTCCAGGTACCTCATAGATTGTACAACAGTAACCAGACATGTTGTAGCAAAGTTCTTGTCCTATGGCAAGTGTTAAGCAACTTTCCAAGTGGGTTTGTTAAAATAAATTTCTGTCAACTGATGTAGTCATTTCATGTTTATATCACTTTGGGTAGATGATGGATAGGATTTTTCATCGTCATCATCATCATCATCAATCATCATCATCATCTTTTCATAACAAAAGCAGTTCACTCTATGTAAATTCAGTGCTGGAAATAATATTTTTTTTAATTAGGCACAGTTGTAGCAGGACATATTAAGTGCTTTCAAATCTCTTTGGCCAGACACATTTCAAATTTGATAAATAAAAGATGATAAATTTGCAGCTTGGGGAATAAAATGATAATAAAGAAATGTTGCCACAAGCATTGGACAAAAGAAAAAATCTGAGTCCCCAACAGGATTCAAACCTATGGCCTTCCAGATACTGGTTGGGTGCTCTATCACTGAGCTATGGAGGGACTCTTGGTGAACTAGGTTCATATGTGACACACGTCCTGCTAACTGCTAGGATCAGCAATATTGAGAGCGTCGTGTGTGATAAATGAACCTAGCCAAATGGCTAAGCTCAACAAGAGTCTCTCTGTAGTTCAGTGGTTAGAGCTTACAAGAGTGTCTGTTAAGACAGTTTCCACTATAGTTGGCATTTAAACGAGAAAAGCAGAGAGGTCTGTATCAAAGCAAGCTCACTTCCTGCCTCGCTTGCATTCATAGGCCAGGTAACTAAGCACACACTGCAAAATGGCCTATTCACATGATAGCTGTAAAGATTACAGCAAGTATTGCACATTCTCTTATCTCTGCATAAACTACAGTTGTTTATACAACTGCACAATGCAGTTCATGAAGACATTCTAACGTCATTTAAACTCAGCTACAAATCCTTTCTCATATTATCAGCTGTTTGCCATTTCCTGGTGATCATCTCTTGTATCATCAGCAAGAATGTTATACAGCACTCTGATGCTCAATGTGCAGTTTGAACAACACACAGTGTTATGTCCATTTTCCAAATCACACTCCGTAATCACATACTCCCCACTGCATCGACAAACACTTGAGAAGCTTCCAGAGTCTAGAATAACAACATTATAGCAAATTTGGTATACAATAGATGCAATAAATTAACACAAACCAAATTACAGTCTTGGGTGCCAAAATAAAATTTACTGTCAGCAGTGACTTAACTGTGATATATTCCACGCTATTGCCACACAACAAAGTCATCCCAAGTATTACTGACATCTTTTTGACAATGTTTATACTGCAACGTCATTTACCTAGGTTTGGGTCATGGGGTAAGGAAAAAACACAGTTCCAAATAGACCTCTCTCTCCTCCACAGAGACTTAAAGGGGTTTTTCAGATGGAAAAAAATCCTCTGAACAATATGAGTGCAGGGACAGGATTATGTGAAAGGGCTGCCTGGCCAATCTATTTGACTTTGCGTCTGCACTTACTTCGCACAGCAGCTTTCTATAACAAAGGTTTCGAGCCTCTGTGGAGGAGAGAGAGAATAGACAATGTTCTGAAAGGGTCATTGGGACATTAAAAAATTTTCCACAGAGTACTTTTGAAATAAAGCAAAGCATATAACACGAAGTAAAAAGCATCACATACAGTGCTGAAAGCTGTATAAAAATAACTTTTTCAGGCTACATGTAAGTTTTTAACAGTTTTCTACCTTCATGATATTCCATGTCATCTAAATCCACCTCAGCACTAACTGGCCACTCTTGAGACAGATCCTGTTCTAAATTTGGTAAATAATAATTTTTAAGGAATGCTCTTGTTATGTAAAATGGCTTTTTGTTACAGTAGGGTCCTAGAGAGGAAGCTCATCTCTGACAGTTACCCCATCCCTTCTTTAACCTGTCTTTGCAGTGTGACTCAGAAACCTTTGGGTTTGTTTATGTGTCACGAGGAAAAGATTTCCTCACAAAGCATTCTTTACTAGGGACATGAAGTCTTTCACAATTTCCTTCACCCAAGAATGGTTTTACAAGAACAGAGCAAGACATAATTATTTCACATGCCTGACTTCCAACATGTCTAATAATTATGGTCTAAAAAGTATTGTGTGTTTCTTGGACTATTGCGTCTAAGCTTAGCTCTTGTAGGCTGCTTGTTATAAGCTTAATTTTTTTTGCAAATAATGCAAATCGAGCAAAATAAATTATGAAAGTGAAGAATGCTCATTGCAGTAAATTTTCCAATTGGAAAATTTACTGCAATGAGCATTCTTCATTTTCATCTACAACTGCAGTTCAAATATGAATCATTTCATATAGACATCACAAAATAAATTATGTCAACAAACCATTTTACCTTTCGGGTGTGGACAAAATGTGGGGTAGGCCATGGCCTAGGCCATGCTGTAGACCATGGTCTACCCTATAGCCTAATGGTGGTCAGATTTTTAAAAGCATAAGCAAATCATATGCATCAGTAAGAGTAAAATGGGTGAGCTAGCATAAAATTATATCCCTCATGGTTTCTTGTATCCCTCTAATAGGGGTATACGAAAAGTCACTAACACTAACACTAACAGTCACTAACGCCGTTCATTACATCTTTACACTAGCACTCCACTATATGTTACAAACTGGCAGCCAGTATGGATCGTGGAGCCACATTTTGGATATTCTCAGCAATCAGGCAATACCAGTCCTTCCCGGGAGGAGGGGGGAGGATATGTAAATCACCGGGGTGCTTGCCATACCTTTTAGGGGTTAAAAACGCAGTTTTGGTACCTCTTAAGGTGTTTAGCCTCAAAAGGTCCACGGTGGGAGCTCTTGCAAAATATAATAGGGGATAATATCTTATGTAAGAATCGGTACCACTTAGGGGAGAAACAAATTTCAAACCATGCCCGCAAAACAGGATCTTGGTACCTCTTAGGGGTTCTTTCTAAAATTTCCAACCAGCACCCCAGTCTTTTTTATATGGGAGTCCCCCCCGGGCCCTTCCCCTCCCTCTTAACCTGCTGTTATGGTTGATTGCTTGGCTGGAGAAGCTAGACGTCGAAGACAGCGAGAAATAGGATGTTTCAAGGCTGAGTGCTGTAAGGTTTGAATTGTTTCGTTCCCTCTGTTGTTGAGAATCGTGTTAGTGACTTTTTAGTATAGCCCTATTAGAGGGATATAATTTTATGCCAGCTAACTCGTTCGACTCTTACTGATGTTTTGTTTATGTTTTTAAAAATCTGACCACCAGTAGGCCATAGGGTAGGCAACAGGGTAGGCCATGGCCTACCCCACGTTTTGTCCACACCCTTACCTTTCAGCTGTTTATCAAGGTTTACTCGTGTTTCTTGGTTATTGAGGAGTTTCCATGCCTTATCTATAGCCAAAAACCTTTCATAGGCCTTGTCACGATCTTCCTGGGTTAATGATTCATCTAGTTTATCAGGGTGCACCTGAAAGGGCAAAAAAATTCTTTCGAGATCGAGTCCTGGGATCGAGTGGACAATGCAGAGAAATTTCTTTTGCAAGACGTATGATCGGTTGTCGAACCTTGAGTACAAGTTTTTGATAACTTCTCTTGATTTCTTCGTGGCTGGAGTTTGCTGAAACGCCGAGCACGTCATAAGGATTGGTGAATTCTGCCGCGTTCATAGGATCAGCACTTCATGAGCGTTCGCCATATTAGAAACCGTGTTCTTCGAGGAGAATGAACACTAGTTATTTTCTAATAAAACTTCTGATTGGTTGATATTGCTCGCGTTTTACACAGTGACCAATCAGAACTATCGTTGTAAGTCTCCATAGAAATTGCGTGGTTACCAATTATTCTAAGAGAAACCAAGATGGCGGCGTTACGACGCGTTGGACTGTGCAGATGCTTATCACTAGTGCGGTCTGCACAACCATCATTAGCTACTAGTAGTTGTCTTTCTTCCAGGAATGAGGTATGACGCTTGCCTTTATTTAGTTCTTTGTTATTTTTTGTTTTCAAATGACATTCCCTTCAGTCAAACTTGAGGATAGTTTCTAAACTTGTAGATGTGGAAAAAAGCTTGCGCACCGGTAGCAAACTCATTGACGAACCTCTTTGAGTACTGATTCAAATATATAATGATGCTTAACTTCAGCATATCCTCCCTAGAGCGTTCAGAGCTGCCTTAAAAGTTTCGAAAAGTTAAGGTGGCTCTGATCAATGCAAAAAATTGCATCTTATTAGGCTTATCACAATTTGATAATAAAAAATATGGATCACTGAGCTTGTTTTTGAAGTAAAAAAAATTAAGAGTGTTTCTAAGAGGTTGTATTGTTCCCATGGTAACCTGTTATATAATATAATGACCACAACTTGTTTACCAATGATTAGGCATTTGTGTAATATCATTATTGTACAGCTTTAGGATCATTTGACAAAGATAAAATGATATCTCTAGCAATCTTTGAGCCTACCATTTCAACTGAAATTCACCCTTTAGAAGGTGTGAAAACTGACTCCTTAGATATCAGTTGCCTGAAAGCTTTGGTTGTCCTTTCTAAATTTATGTTGTATTGATGTTAGAAAGTCCTTTAACATTTGAGAGTGGGTATGGTGGCAGCTCTATACTGTAAATTTCATGATATATTTAGAACAATCATTATTCATTCAATCATTTGACCGACAACCCAACTGACTGACCAACTGATCAGTTAATTGATACTTTTTTTATGTCTTGTCAGGTACCAGAATTAGGTGGTCAAACCTCACCTATTGGATTTGTTTATCAACACAGGTACTGACAAAAAGCATACATTCTGGTCTTGAGTACATCTGCATTTTTGTCTTCTGCACATAACTGTAATAATATTATTAAATGTCCTAAATGCCTACTTAAACACCTACAACAGCAGTAAAATTTTATCACGTTGTAAGTAATATTATGTCATAACAATGCATCACAAAAGTAATCTTGGCTATGAATAACAAAGGCTAATGCATTGGCAAAAACGTGCAGGCCACTTCCTTCGCATGAGGGGTGCATTTGAAAGGTGCATGCAATGTTCGCTTCCTTCTGAGCAGTACTGTGATCAAAAGGAGAACAGGTCTGTTGAACTGGAACTAGAATGGTTAAGTATGTTTGTAACTTTAAAATTTCAGAAAAAAGGTTAGAAACATTATTATTACTGAAGTATATGATTTTTTTATGAGTTTGCTCTGCCTTCATAGGACAAGAGGGGATTTCTGTCCACAAAGAAAACATGGTAAGAATCTTATACTATTATTTTTCCTGTGGATAAAAACCGATCTGAGACAAATCTGTGATGCAGAAGTTTACAGTAGCAGCTTTATTCTCATACCCAGACATTCTTTCAGCTCATGCAGTCAGGAATGCATGACAAGCAGATTATGTTGCCACAGGTCAAGGAAAAAAATTCAATAACGTCAGGGAATTTTGTTTTGAGTCAGGAATTGGAATAATTTAACCAGCTGTAATCTCAATGATGTATTTCCTTTTCATGTTGTTCCAGAAAATATCCATATCACCACCTTCTCATTATTTCCTTTTTGGAACACAAGCATAACCCCCGTTCTTCTGAAATGTCCACAAGTATTATGTTTGACACCCCTTAGCCCCTCTGGAAAAATTCATTTTGTCCAGAAAGTGTGTTACAGTTAAAGGAAACACTCCAGGGTTGTACATCACTGCTGTTTATTATTGATTGTTGGTAACATGCAAAGATACAGGTACAGTACAGACTCCCAAAACATAAAGCAACTTCTTTAAACACACTTTAAAGTGCCACTGAAACGAAATTTTCGTACTCTCTTTTATTACCCCAATTTGTAGTTTCTAACGTGCTTAAAATAATGGTGAACTTTATTTCTGTCAAATCCTAACGGAAAGTGCTTTTTTTAGCTGCTGAAATCGACTTTTTGGAGCAAAACTGTGTC